GGAAATACCAGACCAAAATAATACCAAAAAACAGCAGCACAAACACCAAGTCCAGTAGCTCCATGTCTGACTTCTTGAGCTTTACTTCCAAAGGGCTTAGATGGCTCAGCCTTTCCAGCTTTGCTGCATGCAGCATACAACTCTCTTGGACTGGTACCACTCCCTGTATGCAGCTCTCCTTGACAGATTTCTCACAGTTCTGACATCAGAACATCTTCTTGAGGTTTCCACCAACAACGCAGCTTCACCTTCACAGCTTCACACAATGGCCTATCAGGGCCTTCTTTATGCATGGAGGTTCCTGCTGCACACTGCTTAGCCTTGGTGGCTTTCTGAAAGAGCAGAGGAAGAACTGATGAATCCTTCACTCTTGCATCTTTCAGGCCTCTAAAGTCAGCACCACATGAACAATATTGCCAATTTTGGCTGCAGGTTTGGGGTGGACCCTGGTCTGCTTCATTGGCTTTTGAAGCTTTTCTCTGCTGTGATTTTCTAAGAGTAGAAAACCCCAGCATTTTACTTTCACAAATCGGAGGCTTAGCTGGGTGTGGTCTTGTCCTAGAGGCACTATCTCCATTGTTTAAGCAAATCTCTAGGCCTCTTCTTAATCACTTTAATCTCCTTTTCAAAGGGATCTTCTCCCCCAGCACAGGCCTTGGCTCCGACATTAATCTTCCTAATGCTCTTTTTCAATCCAAACTGTACATTCTGCATTTTTTTCTATCTCATTTGTTCTTTTTCACTGTAGATCTACATAATATTCATAATTACTAGCCACACCACCATTTCTATGTTAGGCTTCCTTGAAATACCCTCTGCCAAAGAAATAAGTTCATTGCTTTTCAACTTGGGTTCAGGTAAGCTTTTTGGCTGTGGGCAGACTCCATCCAGACTCTTTGCCAAAATATCCCAATTGCTGTTTAAGTCCTTATTTCCCTCTGGAATTAAATTGTTCTCAGCACTGCTTTCTTCCAGGCTCCTAATTCAATGACCTGTTAAGCTTTGCTTACAGCAATCAACCACTTTTCTAGTCCAAACTTCCAAAGTCTTCCACATTCCTCCAAATATTAACACAGTCAGGTTCTTCACAGCCAGCACCCCATTCCTGGTACCAATTTCTGTCTTAGTTACTTTTCTGTTGCTGTGATAAAACACTGTGACCAAGAGAACTTATAGAAGGAAGTGTTTATTTAGCTAACAGTTCCAATAGGTCAAGAATCCATCATGGCAGGGAGGCATGGCAGCAGAGGTGGCTGGAGTAGGAGCAGAAAGCAGAGGCTCATATCTTCAAGCAGGCACAGGAAGCAGAGAGTAACTAGAGACCTGGCAAGGCTTAAGAACTCTCTAAGCCTGCCTCCAGTGACATGCTTCCTCTAGCACAATCACACCTTCTAAGACCTCCTAAAACAGCAGCACCAACTGGGGACAAAATGCTCAAATACTTGGAGCCTCTGGGGGACATTCTCATTCAAACCACCACATTGACCAACATCAAGAAAACTAACAAATATTGGTGAGGATGTGGGGAGTGATCCTTTAGTGTAAGCAAAACAAGTGCAGTCACTATGGGAATCAGTATATAGAGTTCAGAAAAAAAAAAAAAAAAGAGAAAAGAAAACCAGAACAGACCCAAAGGACTCTAAGTCCTGCCACAGAGATATTTGTTCAACCATGTTTATTTGTACTATTCACAATAGCTGGAAAATGGAACCAGTCTAGATTTCTATCAGCAGATGAATGGATAATAAAATAGAATACATATACATAATGGAATTTTATTCAGCCATAAATAAAAATGAAATCATGACATTTATAAGAAAATGGGTGGAACTGAAAATTATTATACTAAGCAAAGCATCCTGGGCTTAGAAAGAAAAATACTACGCATTTTCTTTCACATGAAGATCCTGCAGTTTAGTTTTATATATGTATCTATACGTGTGTAGGGGCTATAGCTCATGAACCTGGAAAAGGGAGCACGAAATAGAAAAAAAAAAAATAGACCTTCAGAGAGGATTGAAGAGGATAAAAGAGGGCAATGCAACAGGTGTGATATCAAAACAGAGGGGGGAAGAAGAAGTGAACTGGGGGGGGGGGTCAGAGCAGTGACAGCCACCAAAAACAAGGTACTTACGAAAATGCCACAGTGAAGCTGTTATTTTATATCCTAATTTTAAAGCTAAATATGAATTTCCAAAACTTTTAGTTTTTCAGGTTCTTCTTTACCCCACTTTTCTTTGCATCGTGAGGTAGAGGTGTTCTTTTTTTGTAGCACTATGATTGGACCCCGGGCCTTGTTCTTACTCTACTACCATATTCTCAGCCTTGGTGACCTTTTCTTTACGCCCCCCCCCCCGGCACTCTTACATGTTCAGTGTCACCTAGAGTGTCTTCTAATCCTTCCATTTAAAGTCTTCAGGCCTAGAGAGCACTGACTGCTGTTGCAGAGGACCCAAGTTCAATTCCTAACACCCACATGACGGCTACGAACTGTCCTTAACTCTGGTTCCTAGAGGACTCCGAAGCCCTCTTCTGACCTCCACAGCATTGCATGACACGGGTGCACTCACATAGATGCAGACAATACACTCATACCCATAAAAAATAAATAAATAAAATATTTTAAAGTCTTCTGAATGGGGTCACCTGTCTGTACATGCACTGATGAGCATTGCATAAGGTTCAGTCTGTGAAAGCAGAAGAGGTTAAACAAACAAAAGGTAACAGCAATGCTATGAGACAGAGTAATAAATGAGATGCATCCCAGGGAAAAGAAAGCAGGAAGGCCTCTCAAAGAGAGGGACAAGTGATCCATTCTTTGAAAAATGAATAGGAATCAGACTAGCAAAGGCACAATGCACCATCTTCAAACAACCTATGAAAAGGGATATGAGCAGAGAAGATCACAGCTTACTGCTGAAATTTCAGTCAATCCAAAGTCTGGAACTCTGGCTTCATGGAGGAGTGATACAGGACTGGAAGAGCAGGGGTAAATGGCCCAGAGGCTATTGGAGAGGAGGGAGGACCTTCAGGACATCCTTTCCCTTATCTGTTGCTATATAACCCCTGGAATGCTGCATGCCCTAAAGCAGCATCATTTTCTTTCTCACAGCTCTCCAAGGTGGGCAACAGTCTCTAGGGATAGCTCATCTCTTCTCATGTGGCTTAGGCTGGCATAGTTTGATTGAGGCAAGAGAATCTAAAATCATCACTTAGGCACCTGGCACCTTAGGTAAGGCAGCAGAGGCTGACTGGGCTTCTTTTTATTTCCCTGGGGTCTCTTAGTATTCAGTAGTATGCCTCCAGCTCTCTACTTGGAAGCTATTTCCTAGGAAAGCAGAACATGAAAGTAGCAAAACAGTAGGCCCAGAAGCTTTACAGCTACACCTCCTCTGAACTCTTGTGGTCAAAGCAAGACCAGCTTGGCTTAGAGAAAAGGAGAAATAGACCCAGTCTCTTCTGGAAGAGCAGCATAAGCGTAAAGGGAATATTGGCAACTCGGTGTGTGTCATTATAGCTTATAAGCCTTACAGCTCACTGCATTCTATAGGGATCTATTGAAGGATTTTAAGAACCACACACATACTATGTGTGTTTAAAATATATCCTCGAAGCCAGGAGTGGTGCTGCATACATTTAATCCCAGCACTCAGGAGGCAGAGACAGGCAGATCTCTGTGAGACTGAGGCTATACTAGTCTACATAGTGAGTCCTAGGCCAGCTGGGGCTACAGGGAGACCCTGTCTCCAAAAGAAAAAAAAAATTAAAAATTAAAATATATACTCGAGTCTTTTTACAGATTGAATCCAGTGGTCCTGGACCACTACTTAGATTCAGATCAAGGTCAAAAAAGTGTCCTCCAGGCCTTCCCATATTTTCTTCTTTATGGGGGGAAGTGGAATGGGTAATATATTGTTTATATTTTTCTGTTGTAAATCAAGTGCTATCAAACTACTGCCAGGACTCTGCTCCTTCCAGAAAAAAATGGACTCCCAACTTCCATGGGGGAATCAATATCTAACACCACAAGTCCTCTGCTTAAGACCTTTCTGTTTATAAGTATTTGTAATACCTTTGCTTATTTTGTATTTCTATTTCTATAAATAAACCAGAAATGTCAGAAAAGGCTTTCAGAGAAGGCAGAAGTCTGCTTCCTATTTCCAATGGCTTTTCCTGTGTCAGAGCCTATGTGTGCACATGTGACTACAAAGCTTGTGTGGGCATTTCATTTCCATGGCAACTGAACGCATTGACTCTTGCTTCTAGTCCCCACTTCAGTGGTCTACAAGAGCATTGCCTATGAAAACAGCAATGAAAATATTTGCATAATGATCACACCACCACAGTGCAGAATCTATTTCAGAAATAACAGTTTTAATATATGGGCAATTGTAATTTAAGTAGAAGAGAACAGAGACCCAATCCTTATTAAAGCATTAGTGTAGATAAAGCTCTGGAATTTCAGAGTATACAAGAGATGGTCCTTCTGAATTTTCAGAGGCTATATAGCTCTTTCACTTAAGCATTTCTTGATTCAGAAGTCTAATCTATAAAACAACGTTTTTCCCTATATTGTTGTACGGTGTGTTGGTGTATGTATTCCGGATGGTGCTGGAATATGTTCACTCCTGGCCAGTGTGGGGCATGCTCTCAGCATCACTAACACCCAACAGTGGGTGATGATCCCTTTCTTTCACAGTCCCCAGAATAGTGACTGGAAACCAGGTTCTCTTGGAGAGATGCATTCTAAAAACCAGGTTTCGCTTCATCCATATTATGTGTTCTGTGAGCAAACTCCTTAACCATTTTAAGAGTTTTTGTTTCCACCTCTATAAATCCTTAGGAACAGTTGTGCCTTCCCTACATGATTGCTTCAGTGGATTAAGCTACATGGTATTTAATGCCTGTAGCCCATTGTATGCTATGAGGGACCAACAGACTTAACTACTATTGTTTTAATGGACTTCTTGCTGACTTTGCATTGTTTCTTCATTTCTCAGGGAGATGCTAATCTCTGTGGCTCTGGGACAAGTGTTATCCCTTCTGGTTTGTGGAATTGGCTTGACCAGCAAGTACCTGGCAGAAGATTTCCATGCCAACACTCCAGTCTTCCAGAGTTTCCTCAACTACATCCTTCTCTTCTTGGTCTATACCACCACACTAGCTGTCAGACAAGGTAGGCTCCCCCAAGCACCTGGAATAGGGCTTTAACAAACATCTAGAAGAGTGTGAGATGTTACTGGATAACTTTTTATCATTTGAAGCATCAGTAAGACAATTCTAAACCACAGATCTCACTTTTCTATTTTGCAGTAATACCACAAACAAAAATGAATTGACACATCACAGATATAAATTGTGTGAATTCAACGGGAAATGGGAAATATATTTATTGCAGAAGTGTACAACTGCTCACAATTTGAATCCTGTTAACGTTTCTTGTACCTCTCAATGAATCTAAATAGAGTATTCCCCTGAAACCTGAAACAGGACCAGTGCAGCTGTTTTATATATGCTAGTCCTGAGCTGTCCAAGGGAATTTCAGAAAAAATATATGTTCTTTAGGAAAGTGACATAAGAAAGCTAAAAATATAAGTGCAAAACTCTGGTAATAATACAAGGGAGAAAGATATATATAAGGAAGGTCCCATGAATGGACAGGCATGATGCTTTTAAATCTAAAATATATAGAGCCATAAAAAGTTTTCCAAGAGTCAGTACAAGAAAATGTCTTTTCAAGGAGCAGCTCCAATTAAAAATAGGGGCAGGGGCTTCCCAGGGACTTTTTCAGCACCTATGACTCTACCACCAAATATGATATAATGCTTTTATCTATGGCCCCCAAAGAACCAACCATTTCCCCCTAAATTGTTGCTGTTGACTCTAAAGGATTCATTGAAAAAATAGTCATTAATAGGTTTGAAGACAATCATATACTTTAATAATAAACGAGAACATATATTGCTATATATATGTATATATGTATATATATGTCAATTCTAATCATTATACTTTTTTGAAACTTTGATAAGAACCACTTATCAGTATTTCATCCTTACATTTCCTTATTTTTGTTTCTGTCCAGAATAATACTGTAGTTATAATGACTTGTCCAATGCTAGGTTTGATCTTAGAAGAGAATAGTAATGAATAAGGCTAGGTGGTTGGGTGATGGCACAGTCGCTAACATGCCTGTCTTGCAAACATGAAAACCTGCATTCGGATCCTAGCACCTACTTAAAAAGTTGGGGACAACAGTACACATCTATAATCCCAGCACTGGGGAGGCAGAGACAGGAAGATCCCTAGAGCTCCCTGGCCAGCTGGCATAGCTAAATTAGTGAGTTCCAGGTTCAGTGAGAGACTCTTTCTCAAAAATTAAGGTGAACAATTGAGTTGACCTCTGATATCCACATGCACCAGGACACACATGCTTGCTTTTCTATATGCACACATACACACACCCACACAAACACATGCATACATACACCACAAAATACACACATGAGAAATGAACAAAGTAGGACTTAACTGCTTTATCAGTTTGTTGAAAATATTATAGAAGATAATTTTATTTGCTTCTCAGAAATTGATGCTACTGGTGTTTATTTTATTTTAATATCAAAAGATACAACTAATTTAAGAATAGACTCTCAGCCTATAGTAGACACTGAATCTCAGCAATGTTTCCTTGGTGTAAGTTGGAAGCCAGTAAATGTGGATGATAGAAGTGTGCTGTCCAACAGTTATCCCACTGTTTCATGAATGGTGGATGCCTCAAGCCAGAAAAAGACTCCAGGAAGTGAGGGAATGGGGGAGGCATACAATTAGTAACTCATTTCCGAGAGACTGTGGAAATGTTCCCTCAGACATGTCAAGAAAGAAGAGCTAAAGGATGAACGTAAAAATCACTTGCTGTGAGCTCAAATCAATATTAAAAGAACAGAATTATTTAGCCTAGTATAAAGTGTATAATTAAGAATAATGGGATTAAATTAAGAATAATTTTGCAGCAGCCTAACACTGGAGGTTTTTTTATATGAAAATGGTAAATGGTAATAGTACTCTTTACTGAACCTTTATAATGTGTTAGCCACTGTGTATGTAAATGGTTCTTCATACTCCTTCAGTCCAAGGAAACTGGTGTTATCTAAAATCTTACAAGTGAGGAAACAAGAAAGCTGCTTAGGGATGTGGGTTAGGAAAAGGTAGAGGCTGTAACCAGCCAGGGCTGAGAAGGCTGGGTGCCTGTTGTAGGCACCTGCCTCTTGGGAAGCACTGGAGGGATGGCAGACCTTGTAGAACAGAGAAGCATTCATGTTCCTTGGACTTCAAAACCCTGAACAAGAAACAAGCCTGGAGTGTCAAATCAAGTGAGACACAGCAGTGTGGACTAGGTTGAAGGGCTGAAGACACAGCAGCAAGGTATATGGAGGCCTTTGAAAGAACAGCTGGAGAGGGCCGAGGAAATCCTGTCTTCCCAGTCAGTGATGAAGAGAGTCAATTCCAACAATGCAGTGCTCTTTCTGGAGATTTTTACCATCTCCCTTGATGGCCACTGAAGTTGCTGGAGTGTCTGTATTTGGGTGTTTATTGACAAGGTTTATTTGTTTTAAGTTTCATCTTCAGAGTTTTAATAGGCTGGCATTAAGCTAACATCTGGAAATCAACATGGTAATTACATTAATTTTGTGTAGTCTGACTCACTTCTCTGTTCTGAAAACATAATAATCTTTTATTCAGGCCTCAAGAGTCAAGAGGGAATAAACAACTGAGGAGAGATGAGGTCTGTATGTGCAAGCCAAGACCTCTTACAGACATCTCTCCTCTTTTTCCCAGTGTTTCTTGTGGGCTACAGCTTAGGTCAGAGAAGTAATGGTCTTCACATTGTTCCTAGCACAGGTACCACCTACCCTGTTGGGCCTCCATATTAATGATATGCCTTGGCCATGTGTCAGCAAGAAGTAAGACCTGACCATTTTAAAACAGAGCTCTATCATTATTTGTTATCTCTACTCATTCGGCTTCAACAGACTTATTGTTGTCAAATTTGAAACCTTTCAAGAACTTTCAGGGGGGTTGTTATCATGAATAACCTTGTGAAAATCTGACTTCAAAGTTAGGCTAAATTCTTCCTGTCAAATTTGTGTTGAACCAATTACCGAAAGACTTAGGTGTAACTGGTTTCTGGGTAAATTCTATTAAAAAGTATTTATGAACTTGCCCTTGATTACCAAGGAATTCCTGAAATGTCTGGGTATTCTCGTCCTTTAAAATGTTCTAGCTTAGTTAGACGTGGTTGCACATGTCTTTAATGCCAGCACTCAGGAGGCAGGAACAGGTGGGTCTTTGTAATCAAAGCCAACCTGTTCTACATGTAGAAAGTTCTAGGCCATCTGAGGCTACAGGGAGACCCTACCTGAAAACATACACACACACACACACACACACACACACACACACACACACACACACATTATATCTTGTTGAACAAATTCTAGGTACAGCCCAAAAGGTGGGAGCTAGGCTTTCTTCCAGATGATTCTAAAATTCAAATTCATTTCTGTTCCTAACAAAGAACTTCAATGATAAGATTTTAGAGAGTGTGCATCAAAATGTGCATTAAAGTGTACATCAAAAATGTAGTTTCATTGACATTGTATCAAGTTTTGAAAATTCAGGTATAATTTAGATTACTATTACTTTAGCCATACTGTGATGTATTCAGGAAGTGATAATGTGTCCATTGAAGAAATGCCAAAAATGCAAATAATTTATGCTTATGTCCAAAGGTGCAAAGCAAGGCCTTCAGGCACATAACTAAAGCAGAGTAAGGCTTCAAAACCTGAGCATCTGCCAGAGAAATACAAGAATCTCCCTCACATCCACACACTTCTTCTTTCTTAAAATTCCATGGAATCCTAGCTGAAATTAGAAAACTGAGAGACACCAAAAGCAAAGACTAAGCAATAAGGGAACCAGGCTGGGGGGCAGTTGAAGACGGACTTCTTGATTTTGTGCTATAGAATCAAGAAGTATGACAGACTTTTAAAATCAAAAGTGTAAATAAGATATATTGCTTCCCAAGGAAGCATTTTTCATCAATTTTTGCCCATGATTTTCTTACCAATTGTAATGAAAATCCCTTTTCCCAGAACTACTTTCAGCAGCTCCTACATAATAGTCGTCAATATGTTTGCTACCACTTTTCTCTATGTGTGTCTGTCGAACTCAGAAAACTAAGGATTGTAGAGTAAAAAGGCGGATGCTGAGGCTGAAGCAGAAACTTGCAGAGCTTTGTCTTCCCTTCAGTTGTCGTGGTGGCAAAAGAAGAGTAAGAACATGATTAGAACAAAGATGTCTGCTGCTTTTCACATACACCCAGAGTGGTCTTCAATAATCCTAGTAACTCGTTCTGCAAGTTTTGATTTTTCAATGAAAATAATTTCTATAAGCACTTCCAATTTTGAATAAAAAATCCAATCTTCTAGCAAGAAGCAATTTGATAAGCACCAGACATATCTTGTTTTTGAGCAGATTCATGAAACATAGATTTTCAAGTTTTCTTCTATTATGCTTGTGTTGCTTTGCATGAGTGTAAAAACATCTCTAACAGTACTAATGGAGCACTCACAGCAAGATTTAAAATATTCATCTAATTAGAAAAATGTAGAATCGAATAAAATAGGCTTCTCAGAGATCCACAACGAAGTCTTGGAAACTTAAGGATCTGGCATCCCTCAGTATGCGAGACCTGAAGATCTCCATCTTAGGATTCTGAGGCTGCTTTTCCTGTGGAAATTTCTGTCCTTGCCTTTGTTGGAATTTTTTTTAGTGTTTACTACAAACAGTCAAAACCGTAGACCAAAGCAGTAAAATGAATTGAAGTAGAATCCAGGGTTTCCTCAGAGCAGAAGACCAAGGGAACCTCCATGCACAGTCAGTTTCTATTCTCTGGATAATCCTTACTAAACCACTGAAGAGAAGGGACTGTTAGTGGGTTGGCAGGATAAGAAGTCACTTGGCAAATGTAAATATGGAATTGTATGTCCCCTGAGAGTCGTGGGGGAAATAGTACTGTCAATTACCTAAGTCTGATGAGGTAATTTTTATTGGAATCTCTTAAAATGTTTCTCTTGTGGGAAATTACTTGGCAACTTTCCATGCCTATTCCTC